GCTGCCGGGGGGTTCTGCAGGGTGGCGAGGGGGAGGAGGATGCGGAGGGGTGAAGGTTGGTGCCCGCAGGGATGCTGGGGGACACGAGGGTTCTGGGCAGGGGTGGACCTGGTCCTTTTTGGATGAGGCTGAACTCGCAGACCCGGCGTCACCAATGGCAGATAAAACCCGTGCTTTTCCTAGGAACCCTCTCTGGCCTGTTTTTATGGGTGCACAAGCGTTGTCGAGCTCTTCGAAGCCACCCCGTGCGCCTGGGGTGTGTTTTAATAGGATATTTCTGAAAAGCGTCGGGCATCCCCCCCTCCGCCCCTGCATCTGCAGGGTGATGACCCCAAGGATGGGGGCATCACATCACCCCTCCACCCTCCCCGAAGCCTTTGCCCATTTTGGGGGACAGCCACCCTCGTCAGGTGACTGTCACGGGCTGGGGATGGCTCCTCTCCCATCAGATGGGCTTGTTTTGCTGCGATAGCAGCGCGCCGTGGGTAGGGTGTGCTGGCTCATTTCTTGCGCTGAATTACTCCAGAAAGTTTAGTCTGTAGGGAAGGAAGGATTTAGCGGAGCCATCCGCTGGGTCTGGAGGGTGTCTGCCAGAGGACCTGGCTGTCTGCAGGGTTTATTGGGTCAGTTCAGGGCTAAGAAAGCTTTCAAGAGGAGAACTGACGATATAAATCCAAATAACACCGGGGAAGATCCCGATGTGCACTCAGCTGGGATGGAGTCTCCCTGCGGTCCCCATGCCAAGCTGCCCGAACGGCCCCAAGCTGCTGCCGTGCCCACAGCTCCCCTGGTTTTTGGGCAGATAATGCCACCCCTGGTCCCCCCTCACCATCCGTCAGTCCATCTCACAGCCTGCTGGGCAGAAGAGCCCGTCCTGAGCCCCCGCTCCCAGTGCAGCAGTGCCCTTGCCCATCATCTGCCGGCACATGGAGCCCAAGGGCTGGCAGGTTTGCACCCTCCTCTTGTACCAGGCAGCACCCGGACCCAGCCTTGCCATGCTCCTCTGGCAGCACCCCCATAACTGGAGATGCGGCCCAGGGTTCGCCACCTTCTCCCGCAACCGAATCGCGCGTCCCCTCGGATGGTGCCGGGGGAACGGGGCTGGGAGGGAGATGCAGCATCTCCCTGCTGGCTCCCAGCACCCCAGTTTGCAGCCTCTGGCGCTCCCGCAGCCCCAGCCACCCACCCACCGCGGGGTCCTGAGTGGGACCATGGCCCCAGCCCAGCTCAGTGGTCACCCGTTGGGTAAAACTGGCCCTTTTGGCCGGTGCTGCCCAGGGACGGAGCCGCCGTCCCGCGCGAGGGGCTGGGTTCGGTGGGGATGCACCTGCAGAGCCTACACCGCCAGGGATTATTTTTTTATTTTTTTATATAAATATATATTTTTTAGGAGTCTAAAATTTTCCAATTGCAGCGTGGAGATGCTGTTTGATTCCCCTCCCCTCTCCGCCGAACCTCCTCCCCCTTGGCCTCCGCTTTCCTCCCTCTCATGCATTCACAGTGTGCGACTGTTGTGCCTGTCCCCTCCGCCCCTCTGAAATATGAAATGTAAAACTGTAAACATTTCAACATACAGCAGTTCAAAGGAGATCTTTGACTGAGGGCGTCTAACATGCCCGTACCGAGATTAAAAAGGGGAAGGGGGGGTAGGAAGGAGGGAAGAAGAGTTTTTTTGTAACTGCCAACAGGAGTATAAATATTCAGACACCTCGAGTCTTCCAGTGCGGAGATGTATTGCTGTCTCCAAACTGCTCAGGAGATTTTATTTTTTTTTCTTTTATTTTTATATAGATTTTTCCTTCGCAGACGGTCGCACCGGAGTAATCCATTTAGGAAAAAAATATGCATGAATAACCTTAACCTTCACTTTCAAAATTATAAGTCCCCCGAGAGGCTTTAGGAGAAGCCTGGGATGGCAAATAAAGTTTGCTCTGTCTCGTGGTGCTGGAGGAAGCCCGGCCGGCCGCGTTTCGGCCAGGCTGTCTTCCCTGCTGGAGATCTTGCGATTGTTGCTCCCAAAGCCAGAAACAAACACACACATTTTTTTAAGGCAAAGCTTTCTCGGCCTGATAAGCCAAAGGAACAACAACAGCAACGACAATTCCCCGGGGAGACGAACACGCTGTTGGCGTGGAGCATCCAACCCTCCTTGGAGAAATCGTGGCTGGATTGAGCTGAAGGGACCGGGCTTGGCACAAGGAGGTGGGATAGGGTTGGAGGGAGCATTTCCAACCCAGGGGATGCCGGATCTGGGGATGGATCTGGGATCCATCGCGATGACCTGGGCTGATGCAGGGGATGGGGAGCTCAACACAGCTCTGCTCTCGCAGGAGTGGGAAGCGTTATTTGGGGGGGAAAAAGCCCATTTTGGGGCGCCGCCAGCTTTGGAGAAGGAAAACCCGGGGCGAGGGGTTCGAGCGGGGTCTGGGCATGGGGCAATGGGGTCACCAGGCTGGGAACCCCGCCAGGCGCTTGCTGCGCCCTGCGCTTCCTCGTCCTCCGTCCATGCTCCATCGTTCCCCAGGGCCAAGGGCTGTGGCTGCGTCTATTGGGTGCCGCCTGCTTTTGGGAGAGCTGGGTGGACGCGTGGGGCGCTGGGCTCCTGCGATGGGGCTGGTGCAGGGCTCTCCATCACGCGGTGAGATGCAGGCATCCCCTCTGACCCGGCTCCAGCACGGGTACCCAGCGACCGCTGGCACGGCATCCCCGGCACGGTACCCCCGTCCCGGCAACGAGCCATCGCCAAGCACCTGAGGTAGTATCTTGAGTTCAGATAGCCAACCCCCCCCCCGCCGTGCCCTGTGCCCATCCCGCCGCGGCGCAGCACGAGTCGCCCTTGCGAGCTCCCCGGGTGAACAAATGATTAATAAACTGCACCACAGTGTCTGAGGTGGTTATTAATACCCTGGTAAAAAGAGCTACTGAAGTTATAAAGCTTTAATTTGGCATTAAGGCCGAGTGGAAACTCCACGTGTCTGCCAACAGCTACACACACATCCCTATACAGACAGGCTGTTAATATATATGCCTATATAAAAATAAAGAAGAAAATTAATTTGAAAGAGAACGCTGAAGCGCTTGCAGGAGAGAGAAAAAGGACGGTGGGTTGGTTTGTTCAGGGGGTTTCTGGCGGGTTTGTTCTGCCTTGTCTTGGCCCCCTCCTCAGATTTATTGTGACTTTCAGCCTATGGATAAAGCCATCTTTTATTATTTATTTAAAAAAAAAAAAATAAAAAAAAAATAAGGAAGTGAGGAAAGAGCCTCGATCCAGGCTCTAAAAATGTAAGAGCTGCTGTTTTATCCCCCCCTCACCGGCACGTATCGCGGGTGGCATGACGCCGCAGGGCAGGGCGCAAGCCTGGGACCTGGGTGCCCGTGGCCTCTGCCACCGCCTTCCCCGCCGGCCTCGGTCAAAGTCCTTCACCTCCCCGGTGGGTGCGTGCCGGTCCCGGGGGGTTGGCGGTCCCCCCGCTTTTGGCACGCTCGAAATGGCAGTGGCGTTGAAACCGTCTGCCTCCACTGCCTTTGAAATGGAGAATAAAGCTGCAGCTGGAGCGGAACGGGGCCCAACAGTCAGCGCTGGAAAATCCCACCCACAACGGAATAAAAAACATCGCCCGAGGCGCGGGGCGAGCGCCGCAGCCTCCTGCCCTTCGCCGCAAACCCCCCGGCATGGCGTGGCAGCGATGCCGAGGATGCTCTTGCCCTCTGCTGAGCCCTAATTAGCCCCAGAGGGTGGTGGGATGGGGAGGTGGGGCTGGGCAGGGAGCGGGGGCCGCCGCACGTGGGCGAGACCTTGGGTCCCCGACGGCACTCGGCATCTTCACCAAAATTCAATTCCCCATCTGATGCAAAATCCTCTGGGTCTGGGGTCTGGGGGCACGATGCGCCCATCTGCGCCATCCGGTTTGGGCCTATTTAGGCAACTTTGGGTGAAAAAGGGCGTCTTTGATTACTTGTGCAGGGCTGCGTGGGCGGTCCTGGCTGGCAACCCCCCCCCCAAAAACCCCACCTGGATTTGGGACTGTGCAGGGGGACGAGCGAGGCGCAGCCCAACTAGGATTTTGCAAGAGCAAATCAGGGAGAAGACCATCAGTAAGGAAGTTTTTTTTTTTTAAATATTCTCTTCGCTTGGCTTGAGAATTAAATCCCTCGCGCCTTGGCGGCGGCTGGAAGCACCTGCAGCGCAGCCGCGAGCGTTTTTTTGGATGGAGAAAATTCTCCTGCAGGAAAAGCGGGCTGTCCCGGCGGCAAACCTTCCCTTTCGTGGGAAAATGCCACTTGCCTTGACAAAAAAAATGCAAAAATTTCATCTTTCAGAGGACTTTTTTTAATTGGCTACATCACGTCTGAAGGTTACTTCTTAGGAGCCAAAATTTCACCTTTCTGAAATTGGGATCTTTGCCCATCTCAGATGGCTCCAGGGGTGCCGGGGAGGGTATTTATTCTCTTCCCACACACATACATACTTTTTCCCCCCCCCTTTTTTTTTTCTTTTTTTTTTTTTTATAATCCTGTAACCTTTCAGAACGTCTCCAGCTTTGGAAAAATTACAGAGTGGCAAATTTATAATGTTTTCTTTTGTACTTTTGCTGCTGTGTAATCTTTCCAAAGTTAGAGAAGTTCTGAAGTTACAGCATGGAAAAAAAAAAGGTAGGAAAAAAAAAAATAATATACACGTGCAAGTGGGAAAGACGCGGCATTGCGCTTGGCGCTGTGCAGGCATTGTCCGTGGTCTTGAGTTTGAGGGCACGGGGGGGGGGGGAAAGGAATAGAAAAAAGTGAGATTTCTGGCAAAAAAAGTGAGATTTCTGGCAAAAGATGGGGAAATGTCCGTGCTGGGATGGCCGGTGGACACTTCACGTTTGGGGTGGTTTCAGGGGAAGGAGGTGGGGGTTGAGGGATGGTCTGTACTGTTTGGGTGCTTTATGTCAGGGTGGGGGTCCGGGGTGCTGGGACCCGGCAGCTCTCACCTTGGGACCATCGGCTCGAAGCAGTGAACCGTGATTTATAACTTGGAGGGGAAGAGCCGAGGGAGGGCTCCAAACTGCACCGGGGCAGGACCAGGATTTGCAAAATTCACTGGATCTTGGGTTCAGCGTTGGCTTCGATGCTGTCGCCTCCCTGCACCCATCGCTGCCTGTGAAGCGACGAGCGCTCGATGTCCCCAAAGCATCTCCCCGCTCCGGTGCCACATCCCTCCCACCCGAGAGCCCCGGCCAGGGATGCTGGAGCCGGAGGCGAAGTCGCTGTGATGCCGTACGGCGCTTGCCGGTGATGGAGGCACTTCCCCCCGTGCTGAAAGGCTCTTTAAGCCTGAAAACGTGGTTGGGAAGGAGGGAGCGCTGCACTCCTGCGGCTTTTGTGGGTTTTTTTCCATCAGGGATTATTTGCGCACACTTTTTGGTTTGTAGGATGGGGCCTTTGCAGGTGGGTCAGGGGTGCGGCGGGGCGGTCGTGCCCCAGGGTGGGGACGCGGTTTGCAGCCAAATATGAAGTTTGGCTGGGGAGGAACTGAATCTGAGCCACGCTCAGCTCCCCGAAGGGGCAATGGC